TTAGTGATACAAATCATCAACTTGAAGTCATCAGATATTGGTTATTTCTCATACTTACAACATAACTCTGAATTATTCTGTTCCAAACTTAGTTATATAGTTTTTTCCCAGACTTAAAATACAACTCTAAACTTCTCTTCAGAGTTACGTTTCTGAGTTATAAGAAATCAAAATTCTTGTGACTCAGAGTTATGCTCGTAGATAATTTCTAGACTTAGAAGACAACTCTGAATTCATCTTATTCAGATTTAACTCCAGAGTTATTTTCCAGTCTAACAATAGAATTCCGAATTCTTGTGTTTCAGAGTTAATGTTCAGAGTTTTCTTTCAGAGTTAATGTCCAGACTTTTTCTCATTTAATAAGAGCCAAGGACAATCATTATCAAAAGTTGGTTTATTTTTAAGACAACGAAAATTTTATACAAACTCGTAGCATTGGCTAATTTTAGCAATTAACTCTTGAAATGAACTTCACACTTGTAGCCAGATTGGTCCTCTTGATTTAGAAGTCTTGCAACGCTAGATATTGTCCGTCGTGAACTCTGGAGGATTTCTTAGCCCTTGTGTTTGTCAAACCTGATTCCGTCCTTCATACAGAGCTTAACAGAGGTTCTGCACGTGCTATGCGATCAATCTGAACTAGACTCTGTGTTTCATGCAGAGCTGCACAGAGGTTCTGCATTTAAGTCTTGAGAAAGAGCTATGTCTCTTCACGAAATGCGTCGAGCCTCTGTCTCTTACTCCGAAGATGGCCTTCAGACTTGTAACTCTGAATAGTTTTCGTCTTAATCTCTGGAAACTTTTTTACGCTTGTGTCGTTGAAGCATGATTCCGTTCTTCATACAGAGCTTAACAGATGTTCTACAGGTGCTACGGAGTCATTCCGACCCTGCCTCTGTCCTTCATATAGAGCTTCATAAAGGCTCTGTACTTGTCTTGAATAAGAGTTTTATCTCTGCATGTACTACCCAGAGCCTCTGGTTCCCTTTGCTTGTCTCATACAGAGGTATACAAAGGCTCTGCATGTACTAAGCAATGCTGCATATTGAATCTACATTGTTCGTCTTCATTTAGAAGTTTTTATGATCATCGAAGCACATGCCGTCCTTTTTATATGTAACATTTAATTCTCGAGTAAGAGCATATTTATATCAAAAATTTAATCGGACTTGTACTTTTGTCTAAGTTTATAAATTACCTTCGATTATTAATTCTTTATAAAATACATATCAGTTTCGYTTAATTTTTGTCATTAACCCGTGTAATACACGGGTCCAAACCTRGTATATATATATATATATATATATATATATATATAGAGAGAGAGAGAGAGAGAGAGAGATGGAACTTGGAAGAGCAAAATAGAGAAAGAAATTATGACCAGTTAATATTTTAAGTAAAATTAGTAGAGAAAATATTGGCGGAGTTGGTAAAAGTTTTGGAGTGGGGATAGTGGGATCGTACCTTGTAAGTTATACCAGAGAAATCGAGGAACTTGAAGGAGTTGGGGTTTAGATGGTAGAAATTTAAGAAGCTTCATTTTTCATGTGCATTGGATGGTTGTAAATCTAGCAAGAATATTGATACCTTTTAAATTTAAACATGTAACTACTATGCATGTTTATATATAGTATTAATAAGGGTGTAAAATAAAGAATTAAATAAATACAGGGTATAAAACACAAGTTTTAAAAATAGTTATGGTATTTAATAATAAGGTTAAGTCTAAAAATATTCGATATTTGAATCATTTTGAAGATATTGATGAGACCATTATAATAATATAATTTTTTTAAAATAGACTTGTATTTTTTAATGTAATTTAGTTCACATATGATTATTTATGTTAATATGATAAAAATACAAAATTGAAAATGAAAAATGAAAAAGCAATGGATATAAAAGAAATCAAATAATTAATTATAAGAGCATAAAATGTAATCTAAAAATTAAAAATAATTTGAACTTATATCATGGATCCGGGTGTGAGAACTTGATTTTCATATCGCTTAAAGAAGTTGTACGTTATTCATAAAATCTTGTACACTTGAAATTTCAAGATAACTACAATATTGAAAGTCATTATAAACTATTTTAAAACTTGTACATTTAGCATCAAAATGATACCTCTTAAAAGTTCAGTAATAGCCATAACTCCTCCCTTTTAATATAGTATAGATAAAGGGTGTAAAAAAAATGAAAAATTAAGATATTAAAAATAATCCATTATGTATTTATCTTATCTAATAATATGATTAAATAAAAAAATATTCAATATTGAACTTATT